GCACCTTTATTTTTAAGAGTGTACATTGTGTTTTAAATATTACTAAAATGTGTTGATTTAATAATTCTTCGCATGGAGAAACGCAGGCTTTTATCAGTTGTTCTGTCATAAGGTTACACCTCAAAAAAAGTCAACAAACAAGTCAATAACACCCTTAAGGCCTGTCACTCAGCCTACTGAACATTACCATATCCTCACCCTGGAGTTCAGTGACTTGCTCATTGAATTTAAGGTCACTTTAAATCAAAGATGCTAAACAATAACCGCTCTGACAGCAAGAGTTGTCATTTGTGTTGTGCATGGGCCTGAAGACCCGACTGCGCATTTTAATGAGACAAGAGGACCTAAAGGAGACCAGCTGGCCGGTGGTCATCAGTTAGCCCATCACAATGGGTCTGTGCTGTTAAACTGAACAGCATATAGCTCAACGCTAGCTATCAAATAAATCCGGATTTCAGTGTCAATACACATGTCAAGCGATATGACTGAACATGAATATGTAACTATATTTATGACCATAAGGTCAGATTCAGGGCACAATGTGAGCTGTGAAGATGAAATTAGGAGATGATTCATTTTGTCACATTGTTCACCACAGTGTCAATGAACACTTTTGAACTATGTGGCTCATAGATCACAACTTTGGTTCTTGTTAATTGATATTCTGATATCAAGTCAATCCCCTCGTGAAAAAAGTGTGCTTCAATGTATTGGTGTACTTGTAGTGCACTTAAAATCTTAGAAGTATATATGTTTTTTAAACTGGACTTGCAGATGTAATATTAATGAAATAAAAGGCCACTTAAGTGCACTTTCCTGACTGTTTCAAAACACACTTACAGTAAGTACACTTTTAAAATTTTGTAATAATGTCAAATTAAAAGTTTTACTTGTTAAATCATTATGTTTTAATCATCTTTTGTCATGCTTTAATTGTAATGTGTTGACTAACACATTAAAGCACATTTAAAATCCTTAAAATGTAATAGTGAATAAAACACTCAAATTATAATTAAGTTTATATATTTTAAATGTACTAAATTGCAACTTCATAATTACAAATATGTAATTGAAAATATATTTAAATACATAATATACAAGCTTCAACAGAAATGACATTAAAATATATTTGAGTTTACCATAAATGCTTGTCAGTACACTCAGTAGTGTAATTTAGCCATATCTCAAAGGAAGTTCAACAAAATTGCATTGCATATCAATTTAAACTATAATACATTTAATTAAATCGCAAATAGCATGCAGTTAAATGTCTGAAAACATTAGTCAGTTCACACTTACGTATATTCTTTTAAAATGTTTTTTTGTAATAAGTACTTTTAGCAAAATTCGCTAAAGTGTACTTCTTTTTCACAAGGGACTGCTGTTTCAACATATAAATGGAAAAAACATTGTGTAAAGTGTATCGTTTATAAAATGATACATTAATTGGATGGTAGGCTAACCATTAGGGCATGCTAACAATACATGCTAACAACACTGAATGATTAGCATACATTTACCGTGGTATTTACATGGTACTTCTAGGTACTACAATGGTACATATCTACAAACCATGCAGTACTTGTTTTGTTAGTGTTGGATAACATTTTACATTACAGCATTAAGTAGAGGATACAATTAATAAACAGTCACTTAACATGTGATTGTTTATGAAGTTACATACTGTTGAATATTTACATTATGTAACATGATTTACTACAAAATCCTTCTTTTAGGGGTATGTATGAGCAAAATGCATTTATTAACACTGAATATTACATTATAAAATGCATTCGTATTTAAAATTCTATTTTCACATGTACATATTTTTCTCTATTTATAGATTATACCAAATGTATTCACTGCAACACATTGGAAATCAAATCAAGAGACAAAGATGATGGTGGAGAAAGAGAAACACGCCACCTACCTGCACCAAAGGCTTTGGCCACCAGCCATGTGAGGCTGGCTCTGATTTTAGCTCTGTTAAAATCATAATGATCAAAGGACTTGATGGCAGGAACAATGAAAGTGTTTTTCGGATCTCTGGAGTCGGTCAGATCTCCCATATTCACGTCCAGCACTTACAACGATGACATCTCTCCGAGGGAATTCAACGCATCAAATCGGACTTTTGCTTTTTTCTCTCATACATAGATCAGATTTTGTAACATACATGTGTCAGGTCGCTGTTCAAACACACGGTCGGGCTTATTTTCACATCTATTTCGGGCCGATCCGGTAATAAAAGTGGGGTTCTGCCCATAGAGCTTCATCCATTCTGGTACCCCAGTTTTTCTCCTTAACGATCCTTCATGTCCCGAGTTAGGAGGTGTCGCTGTCTAAAAAGTCTTTGTCTTCTTCAGGACGTCGCCATACTCTAGCCACATATTCCCATCTGGATATTTACGGTTATTCTCCCTCTATTTATCCAGTGTCCTGCGGTCTCCCTGCAGCGGTGTGTGAGAGTGAGCCCTCTGCGCATGCGCGCTCCGCCCAACACGCCAACAACACGCAAACTGGCAGAAATTGGGACTGTGCTAGAAATATGATCCGGTGACATCTATCTATCTATCTGTCATTCTGTCTGTCTGTCTATCTATCTATGTCTGTCTGTCTATCTATGTCTGTCTGTCTGTCTATGTCTATCTATCTATCTATGTCTGTCTGTCTGTCTGTCTGTCTATCTATGTCTGTCTGTCTGTCTGTCTGTCTATCTATCTATGTCTGTCTGTCTGTCTATCTATCTATCTATCTCTGTCTGTCTGTCTGTCTATCTATCTATGTCTGTCTGTCTATCTATCTATGTCTGTCTGTCTATCTATCTATCTATCAATCTATCTCTGTCTGTCTGTCTGTCAATCTATCTCTGTCTGTCTGTCTATCTATCTATGTCTGTCTGTCTATCTCTGTCTATCTATCTATGTCTGTCTGTCTATCTATCTATGTCTGTCTGTCTGTCTATCTATCTATGTCTGTCTGTCTATCTATCTATCTATCTCTGTCTGTCTATCTATCTATGTCTGTCTGTCTGTCTGTCTGTCTATCTATGTCTGTCTGTCTATCTATCTATCTATCTCTGTCTGTCTGTCT